ACTAAATCCCTGCTAATATTCACCTCCCTGTTAAATGCTTTCAAACTGGCCTACCAACCAAATCACCAGGTATGTGTGTCCCACAAGCTCAAAAGAGTCTTTATTTTTTTCAATGGTTGAAAAACATTAAAAGAAGCCTATTTCATGACCTGTGAAAATGACATGAAACAGAACTTCAGTATCCATGGAGCTGAGCTGGAACACAGAGCAAACAGCTGTTTGCTTCCTCGTTGGTATGGTTGCTTTTGAGTCGTTTTAATGAAGACAGTAGAGTCTGTGAAGTTGAAAATATTCCCTGTCTGGGCCTTTACACAAGTTTTACTGGTGGCATAGAGGGTAAGCCTCAGGCTGCTAACAGAAAAGTCGATGTTTCTGTAACAATTACAGCCTTGGAAACTCTTTGGATCAGTCTTACTGTATACTATGTTGTTCTTGTTGTTAAGTGTCATCAAGTCAATTCCGACCCATAGCGACCCTGTGTAGGGTTTCCGAGGATCAGCTGGTGAGCTTGAACCACCACCCTTGCAAATCAAACCGACTTTGCAGTCCAGCACATTAGCCCACAGCGCCACACCAGGACTCTATACTATAGGGCGTAATTTACTCGATGACAGTGGGGTGTGTTTGAAATCAATTCATCCCTGCGTCCTCTTGACCACCTTAGGAAATGTGTTCATTGCATCTTACAAATGAAAGACCTGAGGTACACTGAGAATAAGGGATTTCTCTAAACTAGGGTTTCTCAGCTTCAGCACCACTGACCTTTTGTAGAGGTGATTTTTCGCTGGGGGTGGGATGGGCTGTCCTGTGCATTGTAAGATGTTTAGTAGCATCTCTGGCCTCTATCCACTAGATGTCAGTAGTACTTCCTCTTCAACAATGACAACCAAAATTGTTTCTAGACACGGTCCAAAGTTCCCTGGATGCAAAATCAGGATGGACTGGGACCCACTGATCTAAGGTCACATAGTTACTAAGTGATAGGGCATTGGTGTTCCATCCAACTTCAGGGATGGGCTTCCATGGTTTGGGTGGTGATTCTCTGCAGGGAGTTTTCATTTCTTCCATTGTTCTTGTCTCAAATCACTGTTGGACCTACCTGAGAAGACTGGCAGGGTAATTTTTAAAAACACAAGTTAGAACCTGTTCGGTCCCTTCTCAAACATCCCTGTCTCTCCCATCTGACTCAGAAGTCCTCCCCACTCACTGTTTTCTCAGCACACTTCCCTTCTCTAGATCATTTGGATGTGTTACACATCTTTCCTCAGAACCTTTGCACTTGCTGTTCCTGCTGTCTGGAACCATGGCTCTTCATACAACTGACCCCTTTCCACTCAAATGCCATTGACTCATAGTGTCTTTACCGATGACTGGGTCACATGTAGCCCTGCCTGCTTCCTCTACCCCACTCTGCCAGTCACGTTCCATCATTGAGCCCAGTTTTACTCCCCCATAATATTCTTCACCTGAACTTTTCTATACTTGTCTATTGCTATTTCCCCATCTAGAATATCATCTCTAGGAGAGCAGGGACCTCTGAGCTCATAGTCAGTAACACATAGTGTGGTGGTAGTGGTGGTGTGCCGTGGACTTGACCTGTATAGGGTTTCCAAAGCTAGAAATCTGTATGGGAGCAGAAAGTTTCATCTTTCACCCATGGAGCACCTGGTGAGCTCACACTGCTGACCTTGTGGTTAACATCCCAAAGTGAAACACACTATGCTGTAAGGGCTCCTTATAGCACAAAATAAGTGCTCAATAAATACTTTTTGAGTGACTGAATGAATCGGCAATTGGCATCACTATTCACATTGCTTATCCACGGCCACTCTGCAGCTCCTGTAGGATTCTAAGCATTTGTCTGGCACCTCTAGGTAAGCTCAGAGCAGGAGTTATAGGCTGTCAACCAGTCTTGCAACTAACTTCCTACCCACGGGCCTGGACTCATCTCCATGTATGAATGGGTCAGGCAGA